AATACTATTACTAATAGTATAAATTAATTTTCCATGATGAGATATTGTATTATTTTTATTTAAGTGTGATTTTGCTGTTGACGATAATTGTTTAAAATTGAAAACTGAAAAATGTAATTAAGTTAAAAAGTCATTCATATAGTGTGAAATGAGGGGAATAATAAATGTGTAAGTCAAATTTTTTTGGGGAGACTAGAACTGTGAATTGGTAATGGTAGAGCGAACTCACCCTAAGCTCTAACCCTCTCCATAGACACGCCACTGCTTTTAGTTTAGGGATAAGTATGCTTGCTCGGCTCAAATATTATATTCACAAAAAAGTACAGCTTAATAATAATCGTCTATACTAAAACGTAATAATTTAATTTATATATTTACGTGAAAAAACTCGTAAGTGAAAAGTAACGCCGATGAATAGATCTCACTGATCAGTGGTTGACCTATGTTCCACATTTTATTTTTCTTGGTGAAGTTTGTAAAGAACATCCTTTTTCTTTCTTACAACTGCAAGATAATACAAAAAAATATCTGTAAACGTTTGTAATTGAATAATATACTTTATGAAATCGACTGGAGAAAGTTGTGTTGCCATCTATGACGAGTTATTTTAATATGTAATTTAAAATACGAACTTTCACTATTTACGTCACGTAGGCCTAACAGTAACACATCTTTCGCCAAAAGAATGATATCAATAACTTAACCAGCCTACAAGAAAACCTGCAATAAAAACATAAGCAGTTTTAAAATGTTTAAATTCGGTTTGTAGAGGTAAAAAGTACGAATATATACAAAATATTTAATTTAATTAACATAATTTATTTTTATTTCGCTAAACTTATATTCATATAAATTCGTTTTTGGTTGTTCCACATGTTAGTATCAGCCAACTGACGAAACCGAGCAAACCATTTGTCGATAACACGTGGAGTTAGTAAGGCTTGTTGTAAAAGAAAGTGCTATCTTGTCTTACTTTTTGTATTTTAGTACGGCTACGAATCTAGTCTTCATTCTGTATATATACACATTCTTTAGGAACAATCAACATGTCGTGGTTATTTGGGCTAAGAAAGGAACAACCTCCAGAATTCCCTCAGTTTCCCAGTGATACTACAGGAATGTCCTCTGGGAGTGGGAGTGAGGGAGGAGGTGATCAAGGTGGTGGAGGAGATGACAAAACTAAGGGAGGAAAAATGGAAGCTTACAGATTTGACTCAACAGCATTAGAAAGAGCAGCCAAAGCAGCAAAAGATCTCGAAAGATCAAGTAAGATACATTTAATATTTCATGGACTGTAGACGGATCTTAAAAAAAAAGAAGCCAAAATACATTAGTTTTTCAAATTTTTAAGATTAAGTCTCTAAGTTAGATTTAAAATTTTTGTTGTTGTCATGGTGCATAAATACTTCACACAATGTATCAATTTTTAAAAATGTTAATATATATATATACACACAATTTATTATGATAGACCATTAGAACTGTTATTATGTATGGGGCAAGATGTTACTTGTAGTTCTATTAGCGAATCAAATATTTCCTAAGTATTATTAATTAATTCACCAAAAACATTGCTTAAAGATAAAAATAAATTGTTTGTACTACTACTACTAACAATTAGTTATTGTCATATGTTTCAAGTGGCAACATAAATTTATTGTTCTCATAACAGAAGTTCATATATTCTTTAAAATTTTTTTACTGTAAATATTACATATATATATATATGTATATTCACTAGTTTATATTATTTATAATGTAACCTATGGACAACAAATGAAAGAACATTTGACCCTTCAAAACTTTCCTTACATTCCCACCCTTGGGAAAAATAAGAGTTAAACCTACTTTTTCTGGGAAGTTGATTCCACTCTTAAAATCCTGTAATTTGCTGTTAGTTGGGACAATTAACTCTGATATGTGGGTTATCTACGAGCATTGGTTACATCAATTAGTTTCATGTAATATTATCGCTTAATCAAAATTATGATTAAATTAATCAGTGTTTTGAAAAAATTAACTATTCAATATTAATGTTGCTAATTATTCCAACTATCCAAATGTTGCCATTATAATTTCTCACTGTTATTTGCAATTAATTCAAATTTGTTCAGCTTAATTGATTAGTGTACTAACAGGCCTCAAAACGTTTTTCTCTGTCACCTGTAGGAAGAGTGGACATAAAGTTTCCTGCTTTAATTATTACTCACCCTGCATTTTTCAATTATTTACAGTATTTTAAATGATAATATTGTAAATACTGTGAAAAAGCAGGACAAGTAATTTAACAAAGTACTAAGAAATTGACCAAAACAAAGAAAATGTGTAACAGAGAACAAAATTTTTATTAACTTTGAACACTTTAATGCAAACATAAATATCGAACCTTGAACACTATAGTCTATATAAACTCAACAATTTGTCATCATGTACATATTCACTTTAATGCAAATATAATACTTATAAAATTCTTGAGCATTTTAGTCTTAACTATATGTAACTAAAACTTATTTCTATATATAACTTAAACAGTTTTCTACTATTTACTCTGACTCATTTTCTTCAGATGTAGACTGTATATTAGTTGTTTGATATTTTCCCATAGGACCAAAGCATGAGTGGCCTTTAGTGTCTTGTCCCTTTACTAATACTTTAACCATATTACAGTGCTTTTTGTTGGATGTATGCTCAGAAATGTTCTCAACATTTGGCCTTGTCTTCTTCTCATGTTTACAGACTTTCACTTCAGTTTATGTACTCTTTCCTACTTTAGAAATTAGACTTCTGTTGAAAAAGGACTGAAACTTCAGGTAGCAGTTATCAAGTATATCATCAAGTGTAAGAAGGATAAAAATCTTTGTTTTCAACTCACTTATGGCCCCTAGGATTCTGTGCATTGTCACATTTACCTGTGGTAGAGATATGTGAGTGTTCACTTATAGTTGTCAAGGAGAACTTTCAGTGTTCTGTTCTGGCTTACTATTCAACATATTTATTGAACACCACTATAGTGCTTTATTTCTTGATCCAATGAAATTGCAATTTCATAAAATACTCTCCTGCATTTTGGTGGATAACAATAAGACAGCTTGAATATGTCTTTCAAGACATTCTCAAATTCATCCAGATACCCACAACCCTTTTTAGCATCAAAGACTGCTATCTCTAAATTGCGTGCAATGCAATGAACTACTGCAATATAATTGTCACACTTCTTTTCTTATAAATGTTCATTTACTGTGTTTATAAATAATTCCACAACACCTGATATTTTTCCAAGATTCACTCTGTACCATCTGTATGTATTCTGACAAGCTTTACTCCAAGACTTTCTGATGTAATTCCCACAGATTTAAGCTCCTTCAGAATCCCCTCTTTTACTCCAGCTACGTGTCCATGATCAAGTTCTGCTGTATCAGCTAGCTTGGGTTTCGTTTCACCATTTTGCCCCACATAGCATACATAAACTAACTTCTGTTCAATCATTCCTTTGTCATTTGATCAATCTTTTTCTTTCTGTTCACTATTGCTACTACTCTCCAGATGTTTTCAAATGTCCAACCTTTTTACAGCAGGTGACAATATGACACTTCAATCTTTTAAATCTAAAATCTCTTCATTTACCATGGAAAACAATCAATGACTACAAACAGTTACATCCAATTTACATGGATTTTATCACTGCATACAGTATTGTCAAAGACAATAGATGCACACTTGCCTACAGCTAAATCTCACTCCAGAGACAAAACATCTGGTTTCATTTTGAAGTGACAATTCATAACTATATAGCTTTTTTTTTCCTTACACTTGCTGTTTACCATTTCTAAGCATCACAATGATTATGCCTAAATAAGCATCTTTAACAACTGTTTTTAAATTGAAATAGCACAACTACAAAAACTGTTAAAAATTTATAGTTGAGGTTTTAATTGTTATTTTGAAAAATAGTCTGTTGACACAGGTTGAAATTCCTGATGGTTAATATGACCAAAATACCATCAACAGTGAGAGTACCAAACTGATGAAAGAGAGCACTCTAATCTTTAAACGTAATAACATAAGAAGAGTATATCTAATTAGCTGTTAAAAACCATTGTGTCAGTTCTAAAGAGATATGATGGCATTGTGATTTATGAAAACAGTTTTCTGTATATATCTTGTTATCAAAAGAGATATCAAGCAATGCTGTTATTTCCCAGAGTTTTCCAAAGACGCATTAGATCTTTCCAAAATGCAGGAACATACAATTCAACTGGAGCATCAAAAACTAATCAAGGAATATGAACTTCAAATTGAACAAACTAAGATGGATCAAGCCCGAATTCAGCAGGAAGAGAGACGTAAAACTATGGCCGAAGAAACAAAACAACATCAGCAGGTACTCAACAAACATAACATACATTGTATAGTTGCACAGTGTTTATATTTGTATGATAAGATACAAAATGTTTATAAACTTGGTTGTATTGCATAATTCCTTTAAAAGTGCTACTCAAGTAAGGTTGGATCATACTTGATTTCTTTTTCTTAAATTTTTAGGCTTTGAATAAGAACATTTTATTTATTATCAGATTAAATATAGTACTGACTCTTGTGATCCCCTTTAGTCTTTTTGTTAAGTACTTCCTGTTATCTTTTCAACAGAATAAGCAAAATATTCTGATGTTAAGAATTTTTTCACTGTCATGAAAGTCAGTTTTTGATTTCTTAGCACATAATAATACTTCACATTCACAAATAAAGTTTGATGGAAATTTCATTTCATTTATATCTTCTCCATTTTAGAGAGCTCAGTACCAAGATCAGTTAGCACGAAAGCGTTACGATGATCAGCTTCTTCAGCAGGTAACTATAATTATATTTCTTTTTTCTGTTGTTGAATCCAAGATATAACATTTTCACTTCACTAAAAAATACAACAAACTATATACTTTAAAATATATAAACAAATCAAGTATGAAAACTTGTTTAAAAAATTAAAAAGGACAATTTATTTAGTGAAAATGTAGTATATGAGTTTTGTCATTTACCATGAGATAAAATGTAATCTCGTATATCAGACTTTTCACAGTGTAATAAATGTTTAAGGCTTTCATGCATTGAATAGTATTAGATCAACTAGTGTTTGTGAGTTAACGTTACATCAGCTAGAAGACAATCTACTGTAAGAGCTTAGGTGTTGGTAGTGTTTACACATCACTGCATGTAGGGTATAAATATTTGACTCAAGGAGCAAAAATTTATATATGTTTTTGATACTAGTTATAAGTCTTAAGTACACATGAATACTTTTTTTTTTCTACTTTTAAGCAGGAAGGGTGGATGATAAATACAAAATAAAAACCTAGGAACATTATACATGCAAAAGAAAAACTAAATATGTTAAAGCCATAGAATTATGGTTGAATTGTAGTCTTACTTTTCTAAATGGAAAATATTTAGTAACATATTAGATATGTATTGAATCAGTATATTTAGCAATTTTCAAAAATCAAATATTTATAACATAAAGTGCCCCTGAAAATTAAAAGTACATTTTTACACAGATCATAAAATGAAAGAAAGAAATACAACAAAAAGTACTAGTTTAAGATACTAAAAATATACATGAAAGCCAATCTTTCATTTGCTGCCACCCACCAGTGGCACAGTGGTATGTCTACGGACTTACAACGTTAGAAAACGGATTTCGATACCTGTGGTTGGCAGAGCACAAGATAGCCCATTGTGTAGCTTTGTGCTTAACTTCAAACAAATATACAATCCATATGCTACCTGTCACTGTGTTATATTTAAGTATTTTAAGCTGCTTGCCTGCTAAACAAGTTTGAAGCATAAATTAATAGCACCAGTACTACATATTATCAAAATCCTGTGTAGATATAAGTTCACTGTTCTAAATAAAATAATTAAAAACATCACGCATGTAGTACTAGCTTATTGCAAAAGCATTCCTATTTAATTTATTACTAATAATTAAAAAGTTACAATATTAATGTGTAATTGGTCTTTTAAATGTATGGCCAATTTATGATTTAGTAATTCCGAGACAATACTTCACCTCTTCACACAGAATAGCTATATCCCTTGTGCATCATGTCCAATTTATGATTTAATAATTCTGAGACAATACTTCACCTCTTAACACAGAATAGCTATATCCCTTGTGCATCATGTCCAATTTATGATTTGGAAGGGATATAGCTATTCTGTGTGAAGAGGTGAAGTATTGTCTCAGAATTATGTGCATCATGTATCATGTCCAATTTATGATTTGTTAAGTTTGTTAGATTTTTTAAACATTACTACTCTTATAATTTAATGATTGGAAACTTTACACTTATAATAGAGAAGCTTATCATCAGTAGTATTTTATAATGTAGTGACTGGACAAGTTATAAATAGTTTATTTCTTTATACATTGTGCAACATTTAGAACATATAGATTTTTCTCAAGTGACACAGAAAAACACCTTTACCCAGTGTTTTTATAACTAAATAGATATAAAAATACACCTTTTTCACCAACCACTGACTTTTGAAGACAAATAAACTGTTTTACTCTGTATAATTTCTGCCTTAATGTAGAGACTTTTTATCCTATGAATAACACATTATTTATGTTAGGATGAATGATATTTGTATTGTAAAGTTATTATTATATTTGGAAAACACTTAAGTGGAAGATTCAGTTATGAAAAGTTCTAATATTCCCATCTCCAAAAACATCAAAATATCATGCCTTTAAAATGTTCACTAAACAGGTTTCTCAAAATAACAGTAGATCCTTTTTTATGTTCAAAAATCTGTACTGAGAAATATATTTGTTTTAAACTTTGAACAAAATGATAAGTTATCACTTTAAAGTAATATTTTCTTAGTAATTTAAAAGGAGTTAGATTTTGAGTTGTTATTTTGTAAGTTTATCATTTTTAAATTAATTTTTTTTTTTCAGCAAAGAGCAAATGAAGAAAATCTTAGAAGACAAGAAGAGTCTGTAGCAAAACAAGAAGCATTAAGAAAAGGTAAGCCCAATATTTTTCAAACAGTTTTCATATTTTTTGAGTGTATTTTTATGTGTGTGTATATATATATTGTCTTTATCGCTTTTGTTCATAGCTACCTTGGAACATGAGATGGAGCTGAGGAAAAAGAATGAGATGGCAAGAGTTGAAGCTGAGATGAAAGCAAAAGCTAAAGTTGATAGAGAAAATCAAGATCTATACTTAGAACAGATAAAGCTGAAAGCTGCTGAGAATAGAACAACAGTTTTGGAATCCATTAAGTATGGTTTTACTTTTCTTTTTCATCCTTTGATTATTTTTTGTATGTTAAAACATATTGGTGTTATAAAGAACCATGTTACAAATTGTACTGGTACTATATAGAATCATGTTACAAAACAAATTGGTGCTATTGACAACCATGTTACAAAACATATTGGTACTATATAGAACCATGCTACAAAATGTATTGGTGCTGTATACAAAATGCATTGCTGCTGTATAGTGCTGTATTACAAAATGTATTGATGGTGCTGTGTGGAACCATATTACAAAACATACTGGTGCTATGTGGAACCGTATTACAAAATGCATTGTTTTTGTATAGAACCGTATTACAAATTGTATTGTTACAATATAGAACAGTGTTACAAAACATCTTGGTGCTGTATAGAACTGTATTACAAAATGTATGGGTGCTATATATAACCATGTTACAAAACATATGGGTGCTATATAGAACCATGTTACAAAATATATTAGTAATATATAGAACAACGTTACATGAATTTCAAATGTAACCATTTTCTGTGGAAGTTTTTCTGTTCTATGAGATAGCAATCTTTAAATTTTCAAAAAGATAAAAAAAGGAGACTTAAATACATAGGTGATTATTTTCATTTTCACTGCTGATAAGTCATTGTTTTCAATATATTATATAAAGTTCTCCCAGTTTTTGTTACCCTTACTGTATTAGTGTATTTTTGTCTTCATTTCTGGACCAAGGTGAGGAATTTGGAATTCTTTTAAAAGAATATTTAGTCAACAGCAAATGTGAAGATGAGTTGCATGCTATGTCAAGACTTTTATTGTGTATTTCTTTGTTATGTATGATAATGAAATTCTTATCATATTTTATATATAAAAATACTTTTATGTATAACATGACTTACATATATCAACATATGATATTGATAAAAATTTAGGACTGCTGGGTCAGTGCTTGGAGCTGGTTTTCAGAGTTTCGTCACAGACTGGGACAGAGTTTCTGCTACGGTATTGTATTTAAAACATATAAAATGTATTCCTTGTTATAGAATATTTTTAGATACACATCTTTTTCTTACAATAGTGTATGTAAAAGGCTTTAACCTCAGAACCTGGCAGTTTTCAGAATAATAACATTGTTCCTAAAACTTTTAATGAATATTTTGTAGTTTCTTTTTTACAAATGTAGTAAATATAAATTAATACAAACATTGAATATTAACTGTATTAAAATTCTTGAAGTAATGAAAATGTTTTTTTTTTTTAATTTCATGACTAGTGTGTCAAATAGTTTGTCATACCATCATGTTATGTTTTCTGGTATATTGAAGCAAAATCAATCATGAACCCAGAAACTCAAATTATAATAAGAAAAATATTTACTTTTAGTATATTAAGTATGAATAGATCATTTGATGTAATATTGTTCATAAAATATTTCATTTACTGATAGACTTTTGTGAGAGAGAAAAGCTCATCAATATGACATATATCAGAACACAGTGCATGAGTATGTCATCAGATCAACAGCTTGTCTTATCTGCTTCTTTTTTTGAAATTCTAATCTTAAAATGAGACTGAGCCTAGGACTGAAACATGCAGATTTTTCATTTCTAAAAAGTAACTGATATTTTTGGTTTAGGAATTGTGTAACAAGTTTTCTAGACATATTATCCTATGTGCTTCTTTATACATCTAAATTTAATATTAGGTTGTTAAAAGAGTCTCCAAGTGTGCTAGCAGCAAGTTTGAATTTACAATGCTAAAACCCAAGGTTCAATTCCCTTTAGTGAACAGAGTGCAGATAACCATTGTTTAGATTTGTGCTAAAAAACAAACTGTTAAAAGAAAATTTTAATTTTTATGAGCTACTTTTTTAAACAATTTCAAGTTATGAGTCATTTTTAAAAATTATAAAATTGATTGACTCTCACTATCAAATACTTTCAAGGTTTAAAATGCAAAAATTTTTGTTTCTGTGCTTGTTCTTTCCAAAAATAATCCTAACATTCCTTCTTAGCCCCATCTGTAGTTTAACTGCAATACCAGTCTATTATTTTAAATGTAAACTTTTAAGGAAATAAAACTTTACAGATATAGTTTTATGCCTTTCCTATTCTTTCAAAGGAAAATTTTCTGTCCTGAGATTTTGTAAAACAATACCCTTTTCTCAGTGAATATTTATGGACAGAAATATGATGAAGATTATATACCTTTGTTGTTATTTAGGCTGCAGGGCTTACATTATTAGCCATTGGTGTGTACTCCGCAAAGATGGGAACAGGTGTTGCAGCACGATACATTGAAGCACGCCTTGGAAAACCATCTCTTGTCAGAGAAACTTCTCGTATTGCTGCTTTTGAAGCTGTTAAGCACCCAATCAAAACTTCTCGAAGGTTATTCAGTAAAGCAACTGATGCACTGCAAGGAGTTGTTTTAAAGGTTATTTTGTTCATTACTATTTGTATGATGATTACTTAATTTTTTCTATGTTATTATTACTTCTTAAAGTATTTTCTTAGTATTTAGTGAAGAAGTTAAAACAGAACTTGTGAAAATTGAAAAAAAAAGGTGCAAGTAAGTAAATTTAGATGCAAGGTATTTAGATTTAAAAAGAAAAACAAAAATTAACTTCAGTTACTTAAATTTTATTGTTATTATTGATGAAAATTGTGAAAACAAAACAATTTTTATTTGAGTAACTTATTTTCTTGTATATTTATCAACTTGTCAGTAGGAGGTTAATGACAGCTGAATTTCAGAGTAATGTTTGATGGAGTCTTAAGTTGACATGCATATGTATGCAGGGGCAGATACAGGATTGTTAGTAGGGAGTGGGTGATGAAGTATTTTGAAATAATTTACTTTCTTTATTAAAAGTCTAAGGGTACATTTGTTTCGTAGCTCTTCAGAAATGTAGATGTACCAGTGGTATGTATGTGTATAGAATAGTTTCTGCATTTTTTCTTACTTATGGCTGTGTAAGCAATATTGTCTTCACTTATACTAGCTGAACTGGTACCTTAAAAAAGAATTATAGTAAATTTGTTGTAAAATAAAACTTTAATTATAAAATAAATATGTTAGGTCAATTAATTAAAGCTAAGTTTAGTTTTTTGTGACATCAGTATATTTCCTATGTTAAAACTATGTTCTTTTTGTTTGTTTTTTTTTTGCTAATTTTCTCAATTATTGTTTACTTGTTCTCAGCCTTCCTTAGAAGAGAGGCTAAGAGACATAGCTATTGCCACTCGCAACACACAAAAAAATAAAGGAATGTATCGGAATGTTCTAATGTACGGACCTCCAGGCACTGGCAAAACTTTGTTTGCTAAGGTAAACAGTTTTTAAATATGAACACATAAGTATATGATTAACTGAAAATTTATTGTCTAGTTTAAAACAAATACCAAACCATAATGGTCATGCACCTGAATTTGTAATGTTATTTTTATGGGAGTAAATCTGGCGTTTTATAAAATATGCTCTTTTATGCCAGTTAAGGAGCTTAGATATTTGTTATCTAACCAGATTACAGTTGAGAAGTGTTATTAGTTTTTACAGATTTGCTTTTAAGTTAAGTAATAAATAAAAACAACTAATTAAGGTAATGCATTCTTTAATTTGTTGTGGACTGTAATTTTACCTAATTCAAGGTTCATCAGCACAGCTTTAGTTAGCAAACCAAAGAAATACAGTTAGGCCTCTTATAATGGTGATATGTATACAATATTTATGTGGTTTCTGAGTTCTTTTTAACTTACCTTGTAGTAACCTAAATTAATTTAAGTGTGCAAATAATATTATGGCATTACATTTAATATATTATTCAATATTAGGTTAATATATGGTAGGACTAAAAAAACCCATAAATATTACATATGAAAATGTTGCCAAACTGAGTCGAACTTTTAATTGAAAATAATATTATACTAGTTTTCATTTCTAAGCTTACAAATTGGAAAAGTGTATGCATGTGTTTGTGTGTGTGTGTGTTAAGTTTAGCAGAAAAAGTTGTTAAAGCTCATTTTTATAAAATGATTTGAGGAAAATTAAATTTTGGATAATAATGAGACAAAGATTCTCTGCTTATGAATTTGTTATAGCTTTTATGAATATTTATCATACATTTAATTATACTAATTTGTAGAACTTCTTACATTGGTAAGTTGGGTAGTCATACTTAAATGTTTTGATGTTTTTATTTAATGAGAAAATTGATGACCAGAGAATATCATAGGCTAAACTGTACTAATTCATTATTCCAATTCTTCACATGAATATCTCGTCAGAGTTAAAAATGTTGTACAACTGAAAAACCACAAAGGCAAGAACATCAAGGTTTAAACTCCAACACAAAAGTTCAATATTAATCTTGGCTATATCCACTTTTACTGAAAATGTTAATTTTTGCTTGCATGTATATACTATCTTCCTCAGACTATGAAATAAGTTATGTGAAAAAATATAAACAATTTAAGTATATGTTTGTTAGATGGGAGTTTGTTTAATGAGTAGCCATGCAGAAATTGTCAAATACAGTTGTGTGTGTGTGTGTGTGTATACATATAATCATATGCATAATTTTTAGATAATTAATTTTTTTGTAACTAAAAAACACAGAAATGAGCTATAATCTGTAAATGTATAACAGAATAATTTCCATTTATAGATATTGACTTGTTTTATACAGATTTACAATTTGTGGTATTCTTTGGTGAATGGTATAGGATTTTGTTTTCAGTCTGTCTTTAATGCTGAATATATTAACTGTTCAAAATTTCCAATGCCTAACCTGCCACATGTTATAAAGGTATAAAGAAGGGATTTTAATTATTACTTCCTAATCAAGATTCTACCTAGTAGTCAAAAGTAAAGTTATTAGACTTTTTTTTTATTCAAAATCTGAACATATAAACATCAGTGATTTTTGGTAATACAGCGTAACTCAAAATGTTATTTTGCTCTATGGTGGTCTCTGATAGAAATTATACAACTTTACAGATAGTACTTTTATACAGTAGCATACAAAAGTTCACATTCCTAACCAAAACTGTTTAATCTTAATCCTTTTATGTTATTCTTGGCCTTAGAAACTGTGAGAAACATAAAAAAACAAACATTTTTATTTTCTTCTCAACATTTATTATAAGGAGCAAAAAAAATTATATATATATATAATTTCCTTGGTAATTGTTTTTAAAGTTGTAATAGTTTAGCATTAGGACATCTTTCTAACTGCTCCCCAGTAGCACAGCGGTATGTCTGTGGACTTACAATGTTAGAATCCGGGTTTTGATACCCGTGGTGGGCAGAGCACAGATAGCCCATTGTGTAACTTTGTGCTTAACTTCAAAAACAACAAATAACGATCTTTCTAACATTGACTTATGTCATCGTTCAATGCTGTCTCTTGTTTATTTGTGCTTAGAGTTAATCAAACACTGTTTAACCTACAATTTGCTATTAAAATGAAACCTAATACATTTGATATATGTTCCACATTCTGAGACAATTAATTCTACCTAAAAACCGTCTTTTTTTTATTATTGATAATATACATAAAAATAAGAAGTTTGAGGTTGAAGTTCGGAGTTTTATTTAAAAGGTAACATTTCCACTCTTTTAAATTTAAGATATACTTGTTGAGTGACACTGCTCGGCCAATCAAAAATCACCTTTTACAGTGATTTGCAGCAATTGCATTATATAAGATATTAAGTTCCGACTGTGTTATTGATGTTATGGATTAGGGAATCTAGAAGTTGCAACCATAGCTATAATATCATGGGTGTAGTTTTTCATTATCCTCTTAAAAGTGAGAATGCTACAATTTTTTACAAAATGCCATTAAACATGGTATTATATATTTGATGTCAGAGTTATCAACTATTCATCTTGCCTTATAATGCTGACTTAGCAACAGTTTCTGTGTAGGAGAGTAAATATCAGATACAATATACAGGAATACTGAAAAAAAAACTACTGTACATGGACAAAAGTATTTTTCTTCTTCACATGCGCATTACCTTTCACACACTCGCTTGTCAGAGTCAGACTGACATTGCCACTTAAAGATATATCTTGAATACAAATACTTGTGTAACACATCTGACTTTTTGTGTAAAATAAACATGTACATTTTACTAAAAGTAAATTCATAGTAAATTCACAAGTAGAGTAAATATTTCTTTATTCCTTCTCCAATACAGAGTCAGTTTAATGGACTGACCCCATGCACATTTGCTTATCAAGAAATAATTTGACTTATTCCATTTCATTAATTTTAGTAATTTTATAATTAAAAAGAAAATCATTTGACAGAAAATTTCATTTTTAAGGATTATATTCACAGTGAAGCAGCACTTAATAAATCTATTGAGGTTATTCACTAAAATACATGTACTATTTCTCATTTAGCGATTAGCCCAACATTCTGGTATGGACTATGCTATTATGAGTGGAGGTGATGTTGCGCCCATGGGACGAGAAGGAGTTAGTGCTGTTCACAAGGTCTTTGATTGGGCAGGAAGCACTAGACGAGGGTAGGTATGGTTTGTCCAAATGATTGATGGGGTATGATGAAGTATTAGTAATTCAGACTTTAAGAACAGGCACTCATTTTTTGATCTGACTTGGTTGAAAATAAAATAATTGTTTTTAATCTTTTCAGAGTACACTTACAAATGAACCTAAACAAAATATACTACTGGTAAGAACATGATCAAAATTTATAAAATCATTAAGGTAAAGCCGTTACTTTACCTTAGAAGTCAAGAATACAACAACAGGCAGAGAGGTTGTTTTCACATATGCTTCAAACTTTGGTCTCTGAACGTTTTAACAAATAAAATTTATTGTCAATGGTGGAATGATTTACAAGTGGAACTGGGAGGAAAGATTTTAAAAATGTCTACAGTATAATCATTTTTGATGTGCTTAGACAACTAATATGATACATAACATTTATTTATTTTTTATTTGTATCAAAATTTGATATAATGAAAAATTCAATGCTATTTATGTGTTAATTATAGCTATTATTTAAGTTTTTTTTATAATTTTTATGTGAAATTTTCAGGATTTTTAAGAGTAGATTTGTGAATTGTAAAGCTAAAAACTAGAAAATATTAAAAGATAAAGAAGGCACCATCTTATGAGAAACAGAAAAACAGCATTCAGTAGAAGTATTGGATTAGGCATCTTTATCAACAGAAACAATCTTTAAAAGCTCCATGCCTTGTGCAATCACCTTGGTAACTCGCCTTTTATCACAGCTTTAAAGATAGTACAATAACTTTTAGCCCTGAATGTTCCAGAGGTAGTCCCACGTGGGCAGGCTTCTTGTTAATGTTGAACTACAAACCAAGTACTGCACAACAAATCTTTAAAAGAATATTTTAATTTTTTCCTCCCATATGACAAGTTTCATAGCCTTTATTTATAAACGTTTTCTTTGTGTAAACAGGTTGCTGTTGTTTGTTGATGAAGCAGATGCATTTCTACGAAAGAGAAGTTCAGTAAGTCTTTACGAGAGCTGGCTAAGTTTACTTCTAAAACTAATGTATATAAAACTCAGTATGTCCATGTCAGTTTGGTGTAGAAGAAATATTGATCTCTTTGAGTGTATATTTAGTTACATACTCATCATTTGATACTCTCTTTTAATTTGTCGTTAAATAACACTATAATAATTCCGTTTTTATATGCTTTTGTAATAAGTATTTTGTTTTACATACACTATTCCATTCTTTTTGAAACTTTGCAAGTAGGAAATGTAAGACTTATTTACATTTACCAGGTATAATGTTTAAAGAATGTTTTTTCTATGAATATGTTAATCCTTGCAAAATAATTAATTAAATAGGTTTCCATAGACCTGTATTCATAGTTATACAGGAAGAGAAGTGACAAATATGTTAATATTAATTGAAAAATATTAAAGTTATTTTTGTAATTAATAGGAAGCTAAACAGACAGAGGAGAAAATAAACCACATATGTATATCTCATATGTTAACTATGTAATGACTTGTTAAGGAATAATTAAATAAATCATGAGTATATATGTTATTATCATAGATTTCAAATTCTGTTGTTAATCAAATTGTGTCATTAACTGAGGTTTTTTAGGAGGGGTATATTGTTACCCGAGTTTTTATTTTGGGAGGAGAGGGGGGGTAGGTATTTTGATACAGTTATACTTTTTATTGTTTAATGGAAAGTATCTGAACATCAGTATGCTGCTTGAATCATATACTTTCTGCCCAGAAATTATATATTTGCAAATGTTGCCAAGTTGTTTTATTTTGTATTTTTATTTTAGGAAATGATAAGTGAGGACTTACGAGCAACATTAAATGCATTTCTGTATAGGACTGGTGAGCAGTCAAATAAGTAAGCAATTCATTTAATTCATGCCACTAAAAATTCTGAACTGAAACAGAGATAGTGTATTGATAAAGAAAAAATAATTAAATGCTTACTGCTTCGGCCATAGTTACATCTGCAATGTTTGATCTCAATTGAATTTAGGCTGGTGTTAACTTTAAAAGTGTTTCACCAGTAAAACAATTTTTTTTAATACTATGTTATGAATACTCGTTTAATATTCAATTTATTACAAGACAGAAATATTCTACTTAGATATTGAAATAGATGTAGAACTTTTCCATTTTGATAGTTTTGTTTGATAATTTAATTGGTAAAATTGTGTAAAAGTACATTTGGAAGTAGCATGTGATAATGCTTTGGAGATATTAGGGAATATAAATTGTTTTCTACTCCATAGAACTATACACAGACTTTTCTCTACATTAAAATATTTTTATTTGCAAGTTTTCAGCCCTCTTGCCCGAACCTTTATCGGGCAACAATGTTCATTTTTGCCCAATGAAGGCTCCGGTAAGGGGGCCGAAAACTCACAAGTAACAGAAAAGTATGTTAACATAGAGAAAAGTCTGGGTATAATTCCACATATTAATTTACCCACATTATTAACCAAATATAAGTTGTTAAATGTATATGTAAAGTTACACTACCTAGTGTAATAACATCATATCTTTTTGCCATTAAAGGCAGTGATGATTTTATTATCTTTAGGTTCATGTTGGTATTAGCTAGCAACACTCCAGAACAATTTGATTGGGCCATCAATGACCGCTTAGATGAAATGGTTGAGTTTGAACTTCCTGAACTCTCTGAAAGGGAGAGAATGGTTAGGTTATATTTTGACAAATTTGTACTACAGCCAGCAACAGAAGGCAAGAGGTGAGTTGTTATTTCATACTATAATCTAGAAAATTAACTAAAATACTGGGGGGTAAAGCTTGAAAAATGCAGGGTGGTCCAAAATTTAGTTACCTCACATTGGATATGTAGAACCAAAACTGATAGGGCCTTTGTCAATCTGTGTACCATGCTTACATAAAGTGAAACAGATACATATTAGAAGATGTAGTATACTTCTTTAGAGTTGCTAACTTTCTTATTACTGTTTATATACATATTATACGAAAATTACATAAATTTTTACCTCCATGTAATATTTAAAATCTTATGGTACAAGCAACTGTAGGCAAAGCAGAACCCAGTGGATCTGAAGTTTTTCATTCATGTCTTGTTTCTTACAGAAAAAAAAGTTCTGCTTTATATGTTTGGGGACATGGGTGTTTTATAAGAGTGACAGTAAAATCTCAGTATTTGGTTATTGTAGCCTAAGAGCAGACAGAGGGTGGTGTTGACTAGCTGCCTTTCAGTAGTCTGTAACTTCAAATTTCAGGAAGGCTAGTGCGAAAACACAACAAAAACATGCACCTGGCTAAACTTTAATGTATCATTCTACCGTTTCAAATTGCTGAAGTAAATTTTAGAATTCAGAAGTATTTCTTGGAAAAAAAATTTTTACATATCAGTTTGTAGTTGTGGTTGTGATTTATATCAATACATTATTGACAGGTTTGACTTTCTGATTGTTTAGGCCCAGTTTATTTGACTCCATTTATCTAATCATTTCCGTTTGGATAAGTTTATAATTAAAATATTTATAGATAATAAACTTATGGTCGTTATACCACACATTGTTTTAAAATGAATACTACAAAATTAAATTGTTCAATAAAAAACGTTTTGTTTATTTATTTTGTACAAAATGTAAAAAAAATTGCAAATTTTGTTTGGGCTGATTTTGGTGAGCTCTGAATAAAAATACTAGTGTTTGTGAATTTCCTGAATGTTTTCTGAGCATAATACAATATTCATAGCGCTCTTGGAGGAAAGTGGAAATAGTTTTGTACAAAACAGTACAAATTTGAACCTTTTAGCTTTAATATAAGTGTAGTTTTATTGATTTTAGCAAATCAATGTTTTTCAACCTTGGTTGTCATGGTGTGATGTCATTACCTATATCTCAGTTTTGAGAAGCCATAGGCCAGTGATCTAAACACCTAAGGAAAGCTCTTTTTCCTCTCTAGCATTTTAGTTTCTTAAGAAAACATACTACAATGAAATATTTTCCAAATTTCAAAGCTGCGAATTTGTATAAGTATCAAGTTTAAAAATAAAACATTTTATTTTGTATAAGCCACATAATCTATAGAAAATAAATTAAAAGTTCTATCAGGAGAATGTGTAGTATAAAAATTTCTATTGTGCTTTTCAGAAATTAACTTATTTATCCACTATAACAATTTTTATTATACTTAATGAAATTGGTCATTGCAATAAAGAACTACTGCAGTTTAACAAAAACTTTTTTTTTCCAGGCGCTTGAAGGTTGCTCAGTTTGACTACAGTAAGTTGTGTAGTGACATTGCAAAAGTCACAGAAGGATTATCTGGTCGAGAAATTGCTAAATTAGGGGTAGCTTGGCAGGTAAGTTTATCATTGAGAAATTTGGCATGTTCTTAAGTTAGCAAATAAGAATTGTGTGAAAGAACTTTTAATGGTAGTAGATGTTGAAAATAGAAAATAATAATTAAATTGGTATTTTCTACAGTAGTTTGTTAAGTAACAACTCAAACAAAATATTCATTATTGACATGGAGGATGGAAGTGTTAGCAGTTAATAAATATTAGTGGAAGCTTTCAGTACTATCTTAAATATGCAGTGGTCATGAATGATGTATAAGTATGTGTAATAGCAATTAAGGAATAAGGTTTGTTTGAAATGGTCTGACAATGTCCTGTAAAGTAACTAGCATTTTACATAGTTACTGTTTTATTACAGTGCTTAATAATGCATCATGTTCTTTTTACAAATTTTCGTATGAATTTAGATAGTGTTAGAGGTATAAGTGTCACTTTCAAAACTTTATAATGTAACAATCGTGTAAATACCTATTCAAAAGCACTTTAGTTCAACTATCAGTAAAGATTCTGTACACGACTTTTTTGAATTGAATTAATAAGATTTTATGGAAATATGAATTAAAATACTGGTAGACTATTACTGAGCTTAAATTCATATTTATAAAGCTACAATAACCTTTACATTGTAAAGGTAGAAAGCTTTGAACATTTCATATTTTATTATTTATCTGAAATTATGACAAATGGCTTACTTTACTGCATAGTACTAGATCTACATTGATGGATTTTCAGTTTTTCATCTCAATCTGAACAGATTAATATGCATATATGAGATATATAAAACTATTGTTTTTTAATAGAATCATTCTAAACTTGAAAGTCTGTACTGCCTTTTTTTATTGAAACTTAGACAAATGAAGATCAAATCTTCACAGATAAAGACATTTATTTGGGTTGTCAGATCTTATACTTACATACAATGTTATACATAGATTAGCAGAAAAAATAAAACACTTGTTTCAGATAAACGTTTTTGCTATCTCTAAAAAGACTTTAGATGGTGGTAAAATTACATATATTAAATACAAATAATGATTTAATACACAGTTTTACACTATACCAAAGGTTGTATATATTTTATAAGTATTTTTTTTACTTCAGTAAAATTAATGTTCTTTTAACTATAAGAAAGATATCTAGTTTTTTTTAAGGCAGTTGATTTAAATGTGATAGTTTCTTCTTCTCATTACTATGAAATTCAGGCTGCTGCCTATGCTTCAGAAGATGGCGTTTTGACAGAGAAAATGATCATGGAAAGGGTGTGGGATTCGGTTGAACAACATAAGCAGAAAGTCCAGTGGCAAACAGCAGAGGAGCTGAAAAAGATTAAAACAAAAATGTCTATAAAGGACATGGCAGCATCAGTGGTCACAGAGAAAAAACAAATAGCCACTGAGTCATCCTCCTTCTCTTCAAATAACACAAACCAGTCACCACCAATAAGTTAAGAACTGTTGTAACTGTAGTAGCTATATTTGTTTACCTTTCGACAGCTTTTACTCTCCTGTCACTATGTGCACAGTGGTCTCGAAGAGCCAGTGGTGGCGTAGCGGGCCCATGGATGTTAGTTTTAAGATATTAGGTAAATCGTTGTATGATAAAACTCATAGATTTAATTCTGTTCTGAATGAGCACCACCTCAGACACTTGTAGAAATTAAGACCGTCAATGAAAGAAAAACAAAACAAGTGGGGAAGGGTCACTCAAATTATATTTGACAAAATAAACTAAAAAAAAAAGCAACATAAGCTACTTTTACAAGTAGTGCAATTTTATTTTGTCTGTGGGAGCAATAAGAGATATATGTAGGTAATATACTATGAGTAATAAAATAACTCAATGTATCTATCTACTAATTTTACAGGTGCTTCTTACATTTTTTAAATGAAAATCTCCATTACACTGCTCAGGAAAGCTTGTATCTCAGTGGTTTCTTAGCCTACACAATAATGAGAATGCTCTGGGGCATATGTTACTGAAAAGTTCTACATTAATATAACACTAAAAAAGGGAAACACTATTAAATGTATTTGATTTAAAGACCACTGATGTAACTTGTTCAAGAAATGTGTGTTTAGTGAAATGAAAAACAAATAATTGAGAGTTCATGTACTGTTATTTTTATAAAATTAATTTGTCAGTAGTGTAGAGCTTTAGTATGATTAGGTCTATGAGCTGCAGTAGGTGCAAAATATTTTTTGTCTCATTAGATCATTGTGAAACAGTTTTGTAATAAAATTTAGTTAATTGCATTTGGTAATCAGAAAATTGAAATTTTTCAAAGCAAGTGTTAATCTACATCTTCAATTCGCTAATTGTGTGAGTTCTGAGAGAAAACTAAATGTGTTGTAAAATGGTTATTACATGTTAATACAAGGTCTTGTTTTGTAACCCCTTATCTAATATCATATTAGTCGAAGTAAGGAAAACTTGTATTGAAACTTCTACTTACTATTTACATCATATTGATCATAAAAACTTTCTTATAGAAATTATTAAAAAAGAAAAATTTTACGACAACTAATTGAGTGTAATAATCAACAGATACCATATTTCAAAGAATTTGTATTATTAAATTAACAGGAGTTAAAAAAAGGTTTTTAAGCTGCAAAAATAAGGTTTTTTAACTGTACATTTGCTAACGTATTTAGTATAATTAATGAAAGTATTAGAATTCAATGTTACATTACAAAAATTTTACTCAGCCTGCAACATCTGGGTTAACAGAGAGAGAGAGAGAGAAAGAAAAAATATATACACACAGACACACAAAAAGAGAGATAATCACAAATATTTTCGTCCTAAAATCAGTCTTTCATAACATGTACCTTGACTTGTAAATTTAGTAAATAAAGCCAAAGGAAATGTTGAAATTAAAAAAAAAACACTGCTTGACTCATTGTAGCACATATTTGTGAAGTAATGAAGTAAAACTAACTAAATTTTGGAAACTTGTAGAATCATGTTAAAATTGTCAGACTTTTTGCAAAAAAATAAATAATTAAATTTATACAATACTCAAATATTCAAGTATCCACTTTAAAAGAGAGGGCAAAAAATCTGGGAAACTTGAAAGTTTAACTTTAAAGTGGTATATAGTAATGACTTCAGCATTCCGAAGAATAACTGGACTGTCCTCTAGGTGATGATGTAAAATTTCAGCCATTTCAAGTACATTGTGATTTTGAAACTTCAAAATTTTCATGGATAGATAAATACAACAAAGTTTATACTGTTTTACACCTGTGTGTTCATAAATTCGATAGAGCATTTGATCTATAGTATAAAATGTGCACTAAAAGACAGACCAGACAAAAAAAAAAAATGCTCCTTTTACAATACGTAACTACCATGCAGAGTTATATCCCTTACGTCACGTAACTACCATGCAAAATTCTATCCCCTACATCATGTAACTATCATGCAGAATTCTATCCCCTACATAACATAACTATCATGCACAGCTCTATCCCCTACATCATGTAACTATCATGCAGAATTCTATCCCCTACATAACATAACTATCATGCACAGCTCTATCCCCTACATCATATAACTATCATGCACAGCTCTATCCCCCACATCACATAACTATCATGCACAGCTCTATCCCCCACATCACATAACTATCATGCACAGCT